ACAGATCTGTGAAGAGAACAGCCTTGCAATATAGATAGAGAGTTTCCCTTCAGACACACGGTACTGGGTCCAACGGCATGCCCACACCCGGGCCACTGTCACAGAGATCCCAGAAAGAATTCCACTTGGCTCTCTGGTCACCGCTCCTGTACAGAGTTACAGTCTTGGAAACCCACAAGGGCAGTTCTACCCTGCCCCCTACAGGGTCGCTATGAGTCGGCATCAACTGCCCGGCAGCGAGTTTGGTTTCTGGTTTTTCTCTGGTAACTTTAAGTGGCCAGGAGCCAGCATCCTGACACAACGCTGCTTGCTGCCCTCTTTTGGGAGAAGCAATGATTGCAGGCAAAAGGTGGGAGGGAGGTGGGACCAGAAGAAATTGCTCTTTGAAGAAATAATGCAGTTCCTCCCTGCTCCCACTACCATGACTCGAATTCGACCTTGCAAGTCTGGCTAGACCAGAGGAGGTACACTGGTACAGATAGGAACTGAAAACACAGGGAATCCAGGGCAGATGAGCCCTACAGGACCAGTGGTGTGAGTGGCGAAACAGGGAGGGTAAAGGGAGAATGGGTAGGAAAGAGGGAACCGATGACAAGGAACTATATGTGACCTCCTCCCTGGGGGACAGACAACAGAAAAGTGGGTGAAGGGAGACGTCGGACAGGGCAAGATATGACAAAATACCAATTTATAAACTATCAAGGGCTCATGAGGGAGGGGGGAGCGGGGAGGGAGGGGAAAAATGAGGACCTAATGTCGGGGGTTTAAGTGGAGAGAAAATGTTTTGAGAATGATGTACAAATGCGCTTTACACAATTGATGTGTGTATGGATTGCAATAACAGTTGTATGAGCACCTAATAAAATGTTAAAAAAAAAAAAGAAAGAAAGAAAGAATGCAGTTAAACTTGAGCTTCCTGTTCATAGTCTCTGCTCATTGGCCCCTTCCCCTGTGCCCTAGCCCACGGCTGCAAAAGCCTCCATGTGGGCTTGTGATCAATCATGTCAAGTAGAATTTAAAATACAAGGGTGCTACTTGTGTTTTATACTTGCATTTCTTTTAAAATGCTATCCCTCAACTCTGATCCTTATGGGAGTTGGTCACTACCATTTCCCGCAAAAAGAGATTTCCACAACCCACCCTGGGATGATCGCTTCCGATCTCTTCAAGTTCCGGAGCCCTTCTGTTTCACGGAACCAAGCACTGTGTGTGTGCCGGCCTTCAGGATCGTCGGGGTGCTGGAGTGCACTGTGTGGCCACGGGGTGGTGCCTGCCAACACAGGGGTCAGCCAGCCAGCCTGGCAGCACCAGGGCCTCCAGTGATCCACCAGGTTTTCATTGGTGAGGCTTTGGAATAATTCACCAGGTCTTTCTTCCAAGTCGGCCTTAGCCTGAACACTGCCGAAACCAGTCCGCCATGGACAAACTTGGGGTTTTAAAGTCAGTGGCATGGGCTGCGGCATCATAGCAGGACACAAGCCACTACACCCGGACAGACTAACAGAGTGGGAGAGCCTGGTAAGGTGTTTTTTTCTTTTCTTTTATCTCTCAACAACAGAACTAAAATCAAATCTACCCCCTACTAACTCATCTCCCAAAGTGTGAGGGAAGCCCTAAAATCTTCCCCTCCAGTTCTTAGAGGCGCTGGTAGAGACAGCTCCCTGTTTATGCACAATAATCTCCTCATCCCAGTCACTAAGGTGTCCAACAGACTTGGTCTAACAAGGGGCTCCTAGAGCCACAGTTCTGGTAAATTCACTGGCACCAACCACAAAGCCCTTGGGACCGTGTCAGACCTCCTGAACACTACCTAACCCATGGGCTCCTGCAGCTCATTTTGCAGCAGGCTCTGCTGTCCCACAGTAAGCTACCTGGTTGTTGGACGTGCATCTCTTTCAGCATCAAGAATGTACAGAGAAATGTGACTGGGTTTCTCAGAATCTCGTCGCAGCGCCCCCTCCTGGTTCTAGTCCTTGACTTTTCCAACAACTGCGTGCGACCTGTGGGGAGGAGGGGCCGCATGACCACTCCAAGACTCAGGATTTTCTTCTCCTCTAGGTCATGAGGACAGGTGTGAATCAGGTTTACAGCACTCCCTCCACCGTCACTCTGACCCTCACTACACACACACACACACACGACCACACCGCTGCGTCACTGGAATGGCAAGGGGCAGGGAAGAGCTGGTGAAAACCCTCCAGTGTCATCCATTTACAAATAGTTTTCACCAATCAATCAGCAAGCAATCAATGAGGCCAACAGAAAACCAGACAAAGGAGAAAATACTTCAGAGAGACACAAATGCAAATAGTCCATAAACAAATTTAGACCATCTTTATGCAAAAAAGAGATGCAAGTCAAAACAACTAGAGAGCCGTTTTAATTACTGTTTGGGCAAATATTTTAAGCTGGGTTTTTTAAAATCAGTTCCTATAGCGTCAACTCTGCCTCATGGCACTTGCCACGTATGTCAGAGTTGAACTGTGCTCCAAGAGGTCTTCAATGGGAAAGAGATCGCCAGGCCTTTCTTCTGAGGTACCTTGGGTAGACAAGAACCACCAGCCTTTCTGTTAGCATCAAACATAAAACGCAAACTCACTGCTATCTCGTCAATGCCAGCTCACAGTAACTCTATAAGGACAGGGTTGAACTGCCCCTGTGGGCTTCCAAGACAAACTCTAGACAGGAGTAGAAAGCCTCATCGTTATCCCTTGGAGCAGTGGGTGATTTTAAATGGCTGACCTTGTGTTTGGCAGCCCGGTGCATAAAACCACCCCACCCGGGCTCCTTCTAAATTGACTCCTTCAGAATTGACCAAAAAAATGAGAAAATGGGCATGTTCATGTTATTACTGTTGGAAGCACAAATAGTCAAGGCCTGGGGGGCAGTTTGGCACCATCAGAATGTGAATACACAGAGCGACTCAACACTAACTCACCACCATGCATGCTCTCCTCTTGTTCCTGGGCCCACCACGAGGGGGAGTTTCCCAGCCTCCTCGCTGTTAGGTGTGGCCGCGAGACAACGCACTAGCCAACAGAAGGGAAGTTCAGATGAGGCAGCCCCCAAATACTCCTCCAAGCTTGTTCCTCAGTCTAGTTCTCTCTCTCTCTCTCTCTCTCTCTCTCTCCCTCCCTCCCTCCCTCCCTGGTGGCTGATCTGCTAATCAAAAGGTAGGTGATTCAAACCTATCAGCTGCTGAGCAGGAGACAGGCCTGGTGAGCTCCTGCAAAGATGACACACGAGGAAATGCTATGGGCCTTCTAGCCCATATTCTGCCCCATAGGACTGCTAGGAGTCAAAACCTACTTGTCGTTGGCACACGGCATTTGTAAAGATGGTCCTCCAAGTGCCGCGCTGCTTGGGTTGCAGAAGAGAGCCCCCTGCAGGCAGGACTCAATACTGCGACAATTGGTGGAGGTTGACATTGTAGGACCACAAGAAGTGCAATGCCAAAAAAGGCAGAACGGACCTCCCACAGCCGAAGAGAAACCAGGGACCAGAGAACCCACACAAAAACATCTAGAAACTCCCAAAATCCCCTTAGGGGGTTCAGATAAGACCCTAACTCCGTTATGATCTGCCCAGACCTCTCAACTATCTATGTTGCTTTCAAATCTGTTTGTTTCTCCTATATTCAAATCTCATCTTAATTTAGAAGTATCCCTTCAGTTATATATTTTCCAAACACAGAGGGTGGAGCTACAAAATGAGGAGTTGCCTCACAGATTAAAGACAGAAGGTGTGAAGGAAGTTTTCCTCCAGGTTTTTACCACTTTGCAACGCAGCTCCTCCTCCAGCCTCACTCGCAGGAATCGGGAATCTGATGTGCATCGGCCGCCAGGCTGACCAATGCTTCGTCCGTTTGCTCACCTGAATCTCAACCTCCGCCCAAGGGAAGAGATGTGCACTGAGCAGCACGGCTCTTGGTTTCAAACCTCAGGCCTGGAGAGCAAGCTCAACAACACACACGCAGCCAACCAGCTGTGGGCACTTCACTGCAGCCACGTGGCGCGGACTCCACGCGGACGCGGGCAGACGTCCATCAGCACATCTCGTGGGGAGCGGAATTGCGTTGAGAATGATTTCAAAAGTTATCCTTGGCATAAAAGTATGTCTCACATTAAAACACCAGAGTACTAGAGCAGAAAGCACGACATGCTCTCTGGCCGAGGGTAAGGAGCGCTGAAGAGAACCTGTCCATGAGCAAGCCCCTCTGGAGAGAGAATTTACCTACGGAAAAGCATGTCTGGCTGTGCCCCACCTCAGATGACAGTGGCAGAGAGGGTCAATTAATTGCTGGGCAGCAATTCCACTGAGAAATATGAGTTACTCAGGAAACACAACCCACTGGGGAGTTCCCAAGTCTGTGTCACTTTCCAGGTAAAAGGACACACTGGTGTGTGCGCGTGCACATGCACACGCACATCCATGTGCACACACGCCCATGTGCACACACACGCTGAGTTAATTACATAACTCTTCAGAAAACAGCAAATGATCAGAATTGCTCCAAAACGTCAGATACAATCCATCTTACGAGCCATGCAAAAGTTACCCCTTCCATTTCGTTCCTCTCTCTCAGTCTCTCTCCCTTTCTTTTCAATCATTCTTCAGTTCTTGGAAACGTCCCTTCCCTACAGCCTTCCAAGTGTTGGTTCAAGTCTGACACTGAAAACGTTCCAGCCCCCCCGGGGAGATACGAGAGTACACTCACACGCACAAGCAAAGACCTCGTGGGACCCTTTAAGAAAGCGAACTACAAAATGAAAAGAGTAGCCAGGAAAAGAAGGGGGTGGGGGGCCGCCCGGAGAACACCTAATCTTCCAAAGGTGTTTGGGGCACCATCTGTAAGCAGCCGTCCCTAAAACCATCTGACGCTGCTGTTTTTCAAGGCGGCCTCTGGGGACTGACACACTCTTGTCAAAATGCGGACTCGGAAGTTGGCAGGGGCTTTATTAGTTGATCTCAGCAGCGCTTAATGAGCTTAAAGGACTTACCCACATGTCCCCGGAGGTGCTGGCTCGAGGCGGACAGCAGCCTGCAGCACACCATCAACACGTAGGCCAGGAAGAGCCGGTGCGGCAGCAGCAGAGACCCCACACAGACTCTCATCCTGGGGACAGAGCGGGACAGGCCGTGAGGACTCCCTCGGAGGCAGGCTCCTGCAAGGGAAGGGAGAAGGAACCGGCCGAGAGGTTGAGCGCACACGGAGTTCTCCCCCAAGAAAACCGCGAGCCAATCAAACCTGATTAGCACCGTGCGTTAACTCCATTTTCAATAAACACCTTTTATCATTAAGAGTTTTCCAAGTTAGCACTGGGACTCTGTGAGAAGTCCATTTATAAATCCCCAAGGTCTGCTCAAGTTGCCCTCGCAAGCCTGAGGGCTGTATTCTCCAGATAATGAAATTAAAGGCCACACACTTAGCGCTAGAATCAAAATAAAATCCATAGAGGGTCAAATAAAAGTAAACCGATACAAAGGCTCACAGTGTCTGGAAAGAACCATGGACATTGTGCCCGGCAGGCACTAAGCTTCTTCCTGGTTTCTTGGCCCCCTATGTTCTTAAGGGTGTCCTTGGGTTGGGATGTTTTCGTGATGCACATTTTCTTTACATAAAACTCTTATACATGAGTCGCTGTGGATTTGTTTCTCCAAAGTACCCAGACTAATACAGACAGGTAACCTAAGGTGACCAGATTTAAAGCGGGACACCATTGACCAGGGGAGTGGGGGGGTTCTTGATTAAAAATTTGGTCTATATGGACCAAATAGACCGTTCCCTAGCTTGTCCTGCATTCTTTCCAAAAATCGGGACTTCTTTAAAACGCCAAAAATCGGAACTGTCCCGCCAAAAGCAGGACATCTGGTCACCTTACGTTAACCTCAAGGTCAGTGTTTCAAGCCCCCCAGTTTCTCCACGGAGACAGGTGGCTGCATGCCTCATCGTAAAGATTTACAGCCTTGGAAACCAACAGGGCAGCTCTATACCATCCAATCAAGCCACTATGAGCCAGCATCGACCAGAGAGACGGCAACGGGTTTGGGTTTCATTTGGTTTGGTTAGTGCAAACAAAGGCTGGGAGCTTTGCCGGCAACGCAAGATAGCAGCAGGTGGAACAGGTGAAGGTGACTCTGACGGTTTTGTTTTGAGTTGGGATTGGTTCAGCCGCTTCAAAGGGAAAGCGCATGTGCATACTATTAAAGGCAAGTACAGGCTGACCATAACCTGGGCACTGCCTGTGTGTGAAGACCCTCTGGTCTTTAAGACTAGACTCACATTTTATATAATAAATCAAAGTGCAATGAGAAGCTACGGGCCGGTACAGGTGACTACAGAGTTGCTTGGTGGCACAATGGATAATGAAGGCCCTTGGTGGCTAAGCGAAGCACTGGAGAGCCGAGTCCACCGGAAAGGGCCTGGAAGAAAGGCCACTGAGCCACGTCCCAGTACCAGCCACGGAAAACTTCAGGAAGCACAGTTCTCCTTCCGAAATGCATCAGGTCGCCGTAAGACCGAGGCGGGCTTGGATTGGTTTCTGCCACAGGTGAGAATAAAATTCACTTACCCCCACAGGGCTACCCAGTGGACTGCAGCCTTGTGCCAGGGAGAGACCCAGTCTACAAATGCGGCTTTATATTCTCTTGTGAAACAAAAGAAAATTTAAAATCTCAAACTGCATTCCTTCCCTAACTTCCAGTCTTTTTGCCATTACCGAAGAATTAGACAACAACTAATTCTTTTTTATTGTTTACATCTTAAACTTTCTTTTTTCAACCAAAAACCATGGCACTTGGGTTCTCCTGTATATGAAATAAGCAATTATTCAAAAATTAAGCTGATGAGGGTACCGGGGGTGAAACCTTGCTGCTATCGAGTTGACTCTGTCTCAGAGTGACCCATTATAACGTTTCCCAGGCTGGAAATCTTTATGGGAGCAGAGGAACTCCACTGCCTCCCAAGGAGCAGCTGATGGATTTGAACCACTGACCTTGCAATTGGCAGCAGTCCAACGCTTAAAAGGCAGCACCCCCAGGGCTCCTACCAAAACAGAGGGTGTGTCAGTCTGAGGGGCGTGAGTCTGCTGATGGTGGCAGAAGGAGCTGCAAAAGGACAGCGAGGATGGCCGCAGCGCGACACACGGGGTCACCAATGTCACTGAGCTGAGCATGCATGACGGTCCCCACCCACCCCCGTGCAGGCTTCTTACAGATATTTTCAAACCAACCAAAAACAGTTCACAGCAGCAACAAAAACATCAGGGCCCTTGGTCCTTGAAGCTCTCGTGATATTTAAATCCTGCCGTACGCACTGGTTATACCAGTAGAGATAAAACGTGCAGACACTGACGGGAAGACTGTGAAGACGGGGTGCGTGGGCCTGCATCCTTGTTTGGGAGTACGAGAGCTTTCTATCTAGAGGAAGCCTTGTGAGGAAACTTCTCTCCCAGCTGAAGCAGACCCTGCCACCTCTGTTACAGCATGGCACCCAAACACACCCCAGGGACCTGCCCCGCCGCCAGCCCTCTCTCAACCTCTCACTCTGCAGTCTAACAGATCTTGTTTAAAAAGGTGACTTATTGCTCCTTGATCTTAGACACACTTTGTCTTTGTGGCAGAAGCCCCCTCAGACAGTTGGCAAAACTCATGGCCTTGTGGCGGTATGCCAGCCCGAGCTGCCTGTTTCCTTACTAACTCTTGGCCAGCTCCTAGAGGAGTCTGGCAGGCCTTTGTCACAGGGCCTAAATACAGGCCCTTCATTAATTCAAATATCTTCCTCCAGGGTTCAACTGATTAGACCAGGCTCACCAAGGTTAGCTTCCCCTTTTGATGTCAAAAGCTGAAATCGTAGCTTTTGGTTAACTCAAAGCTGGAACCTTAATTACATTTGCAATCTCAAACTTATCACATAACCATAAGCAAATCATATTCACGGTTCTACCCACCAGCAAAAGGACAGAATCATACAAGGCTAGTGCCAGCCCAGGGTGGCAGTGCCCCTGCTGCTGTGCATCCCCGGGGTGCAGCCACATCTTCTGGTTGGCTTCCCTCATCACGTGTGTACCCGATTCCCTAAATTCAACTCCATCAGTTCCAAGTTATCAAAGGTTGTATCCTCTTGGTTGGATCCCAACAGCAAATCATAAAGGAACAGTCTTGAGGTGAAACGTTCAAAACCTCAGGTGGTCATCCCTGACCCATCTTATTCTTCCACAGACAATTCCAAGCATTAAGGTCCCTGGGTGAGTATCAACAAGCTCCAAGTCTCTGGAACAAGTATTTACATCTATGATTCCCATAAGGAGTACCTGGGGGTGGGGGCAGGGGAGCCAATTAAGCAATAATGCCAGGTTTTCTTCAAGAATCCTGACCCACCCCCAGTGAGAGGACTTCCTACCTACTATGAATAAGCACTTGGCTGCTAACTGAAAGGCTCATGGTTCAAACCCACCCAGCCTCTGTCTGTGGGCAAAGAAAGACCTGCTTTCACAAAGACAAAGACACACACACACACACACAACACACACACAAAACACCACCGAAATCACTGTCATCGTGTCCGTTCTGACTCGTAGTGACCTATAGGACACAGGTGAATTGCACCGATGGGTTTCTGAAGCTGTTAATCTTTATGGGTGGAGAAAGCCTCATCTTTTTCCTTTGGAATGACTGATGGCTTTGAACTGCTGACCTTACAATTAACTGGCCAGAAATGTAGCTCACTATACCACGGAGCTCAAAACAACACCTGTGGGTTCTACTTGGTCATGTGGAATTGCTATGTTCAAGTAACTCAACACAGCACCCAACATCTTCAATGATACGTCAACATCAAATTGTTCTACATTGAACATTTTTGTAGCAAAAGTAAACAAAATGGGTTTACCTTACACGTTGCCTTTTCTCTCACATTCCCCACTACTGCATGACCAGAGCACTGCTTTGCTATCTGAAATAATTTAAAATCTAGAAACTAAGACTAAAAGATTATGACCCCCAAATTCATATACATATGAATGCTTTAGATATTATCACCAACTCTAGAAGACTCAGTTTAGCTAAACTCTATATTTCAAAAAGATCTTTTCCATAATTATGGGTTAGTCATTACCTTGAGGACTTCAAAGATTTGGTTCCAGTCAAACACAATTATTCCAGATTGTATTTCCAAGGAATTCCATATCCCATTTGTAACCAGAACCAAGTATTTCTGTGCTTCCAAAAAAAGGTTTTCGTCTGAAAGACCTATTAAAAAAAGACAACAAAGAAAGAGAGCCAGTGATTAGAATTTTAAATGTTGAAATAAGACAAATTTCCAGTAGCAAAATAACGGTTTTAGACAAGGCCAGCGGTTTCAAGCAGTGATAGACAAACAGGGCTGTAATATGTCCTGAGAGGGAGAATTACACAGAATTCTGCATTTAGTAATTTGCCACATGCTCGTTACTGAAGTAACTGAGGCAATTCGTTACTGAAGTAGCAAAATACCTCTCATCAGCAAGATCGTTCAACACCTGAGTCCAGCTATCCTGACGCCCCCGTGTGTTGCAAGGTAGAACTGCACCCTATAGGGTCTTATGACTGACCTTTCAGGTACTGCTCTGCAGCCCTCTCTGGTGGGTTCAAACCACTGAGGCTTAGCAGCCAAGTACTTAAGCACTGCACCCACCACCCAGGGACTCCTCAAAAACTGACAAGGGGCCCCACACCACTGGACATGTCTCAGCTCATGCTCTTATTCCACTGACAATAAAACCAAAAAACAAACACACAAAAGGAAATCGGGCCTGGCCCATTCCCAAAAGGTGATGTGATTTGTGTGAGCTCGCAGAATGGTGGGAGAGCCCACTGATGAGCTGAAGCCCTAGCTGTGTGTGACATAAACCTGAAGATCCCACACCAGGTGCAGGGCTGCTTTCTGAGCAATGTTAGTGGGCGCAGAGGGGAGAGCCCCCAGTGCCAGCATGAAGACCCAAAAAGCCACGCCAGTGGCCGTAGCAGCGATTCCAACTCAGGGGGCCCCCGTGGGTCAATGAGGGACTGCTCTTGATGGGGCTTTCGCTGGCTGACTTTTCAGAAGCAGGTCACTAGGTCTTTCCCCAAGGGACCTCTGAGTGGACTCAAACCGCCCCGCCTTCCAGTTAGCAGCAAGCACTTAACCACCGATGCCCACCAATAATGCCTCCTAATATAAGACACTGTGCCCCAAACACTTGTCAATCCTGTGGTTGGCATGGAACGCGGCCCTTCATGGTACAGCCCTAAAAGGACTTTACTAAGTGGGGAAAAAAATATATTAAGGAGGATTCTGGAAAAAAAAGGCAATGAAACTACATTTTCTTCAATGTTGCAAAGTTAAAGAAATCTGTGGCAGGTATCAGTGAGAATGAGCAGCTTGCATAAGATTTGAGTTCCATATTAATTTTCAAGTTACAGCAAATTGAAGGAAAACAAAAATCAGAGATCCTGGAATGAGTTCTGGGCTCGTACTAAACCCTAGCTCCAACTTAAGAACGTCTAGCTCTTATATCATGGCGCTGCTTGATATCAACTTCATGAAATTATCACTGAAGAGTACTACAGCAAAGTGTGGTGAAGAAAGCAGATGGTGCCCAGCTATCAATCAAAATAGTGTCTAGGATCTTAAAGGCTTCAGGCAAGTAGCCATCTAAGTGAGGAGCCAACTGAGTCCACATAGAAGAAGCATACCATCTTATGTGATCCAAAGGTGATAATTACAGAATTCTAACATGGTGAAGAGAAAAGTGTAAGAGCTAAAATTATGATCACCCAATTTGTAAAAGGCTATGGAGGGCAGTGGGAGCCCAAAACCCATCTGCAGAGTATCTATTCAGACTGAGCTGCTGGCAGATCCGCTATAGACAAAGGCAGGGGTCCTCAACAGCCCAGCTAGCAGGCAGAGTCCACTGTGACCCTGATTGTGCAGGATTAAACCCGGTACAGGCCAGTTATCCTCCCTACAGACATGACCTGAATTAGATCCCATGACACAAATTTCTTCCCTGGCTTTTTGAATGTTGGTGGGGGTCTTCTCCCTCTTACCCATCATTTGCACTTTGCCTTTATACTAATGGGATTTTCTCCTTACCACTTTAGTGCAATTTGTCTTGCACTGTTTCTGTTGGGTTTCCCATCTGTGAAGCACAGGAGGAATGGATGCTTGATAATAAATGTTACAAGTGTGGGAGGGAATGCAGGGGTGGGGGGTGGGCAATGGGGAGGGAAGGGGGATTTAGGGAGTGAACAGTGAGGGCAGGAGGGGAAGAGAGCACTAGAACTGATAGTAATTGCACAACTAAGTTTGAAGGAGATGTGATAACTGGGGGGCAGCACTAGAACTGATAGTGATTACACAACTAAGTTTGAAGGAGATGTGATAACTGGGGGGCAGCACTAGAACTGATAGTGATTACACAACTAAGTTTGAAGGAGATGTGACCATGGGGGGGAGGGGCACTAAGATAGATGTAGTGGTGATTGTACAACTCCCCTTGATGTGATTGAACGGTTGAACTGTTCAACTGTATGATATATTTGTGTGCCAATAAAACTGTTAGAAAAAATAAAATAACAATAGCTTGGACATCTATGTGAGTTGTCAGTCAAATTCACATGGTAATCATGGAAGATTACCAGAACATGTAACCTAAACATTATTAATAATAAAATTTCAAGATCGGAGGACAGAACTACATTGGAGCTTAAATTCTGAGCATCTGATTTCCAGAAGGCGATGGATGTCAATGAAAGCCCAAAATCCATCTACAGAATTCATACTTAGATTAAGCCTCCACGGAGCTTCCCCACACTACTGACCGACAATGTGAACAGTCAGCTGAGCCTTCAGACCACAAGTACGACAGATACAGCTAGGTTACAATTTAACATATTGTTTTCCCTTTGGGCCCATTTTTGTTTGTTTATATTATCTTCTGCTTTCTCTTAGATTGAGGTTTTTCTATATTATATATTTTTGCCATTGTTGGAGTTTTTGTACAATTTTCTTGATATGAAATCTTGGATAAGTGAATCTAGAGTGACAGTTACTAGATTAATAGTTCCTAAGGATTGTGGCATGGGAGGTTGGGAGGTCATGGAACCATTGTAAAATAATAGGTACAAGAATGAATATAGGATACCAGGAGGGTAAGGGTAGTGGGGGGAGTAAGGGGCAACCAATCACAATGATCTACATATGGTCCCCATCCCAGGGAGATGGAGAGCAGAAAAGTGGGTGAAAATTAAGACAGCAGTGTAATTTAAAAAAAAAAAAGAATTTATAAATTATCAAAGGGGCATGGGGGGCGGAGGGAGGGAGAGAGGGAAAAAATGAGGAGCTGATGCCAGAGGCTCAAGTGGAAAGAAAATGTTTGGAAAATGATGATGACAACATATTTACAGATGTGTTTGACAAAATGGAAATATATATGGATTGTGATAAGAGCTATAAGAGCCCCCAATAAAATAAAAACAAACCATAGAAAGACATTTGTGGTCCAATGTTCATCACGGCATAGTTCACAATTGCAAGGAGTTGGAAACGACCCAAATTTCCATCAACAGAGGAATGGATTAAAAACTGTGTACATACATACAGTAGAGTATTACACATCGCTAAAAAGCAGCAATGAACACATGAAGTGCATTGCCACTTGGGAAGAACTGGAGGAAATCATGCTAAGTGAAATAAGTCAAGCACAAAAGGACAAGTACATGAGTCCCCTGAGGTAAGCTTAAAATGGGGGGGGGGCGTGCATAGGGGAAAAGCTACTATATACATACATCCCTGGGGTGAGGCCCAGCAACGATGGCAGGGTCCAAACCCAATCCAGGGATACATACGGCAGCCAACTAAATAACAAGGGGGGAAAAGACATGAATCAGGAGGGGAGCAGGGCACTAGCCCACCCAAGGGGAGGGTATTGTTTATAGCTCCAGGACAGAGGAGAGGAAGAGAGAGACCAGGCTTCCACCAGATGTGCCAAGGCATAAATACAATATACCAGCATGTACCAGGGAACTGGTAGAGAAGTCTACGGAGCCAGCCCCAACCCCAACTATGTGGACACACACACACCCCTCAGAAGAATGCACTTCAGAGGACAGCACTGGGGCTACAGCTTGGGGAGAGGGGCACATTGGATTAGAGCACATGGGAGAAATACCAAGGGATGGAGAGGGAGGAGAGGACATCCTGGCCCACCAAACCCCAAGGACGACGTTCCTGCTCGGAGCAGACAACGCACAGAGAGGACCATAGGGCCAACCCCACCACGAGACACGACATTCCTCATTAAACCATAGCACTGCTGGGGACAATACTGGAGACACAGTGTAGGAATTGTGCACAATGTGACCCCATCACACTGGGGCGAAACACTAAGGGCATGCACTGTTGGTCCTGACTTCCTTTGTTGTTTTATTTGGCTTTGCCGGGATTTTGCACTTATTAATGTATCTGCATGTCTATCTAGATGAGATAGGCGGGATAAATAATTCAGAGATGAAAAGAATGAGACCAATTGTTCCAGGGGGATACGGGAGACGGGGAGGTGGGAGAAAGGAAGGTGGGGAGGAACCAACCCAGGGACAAGGGAACAAGTGAACGAAAATCAATGGAGAGAAGGGCGTAGGATGCCTAGTGGGGCTTAATCAAGGGCAATGTAGCAGCGAGGAATTACTATACCCGAATGAAGACCAAACATGATGGTGGGAAAAGTAAAGGGAAATAGAGGAAAGAACCAGGAGGCAAAGGACAATTATAGAGGCCTAAATACAGGAATGTACATATGTAAATATATTTATATATAAC